GATGGTTCACACATGTTGTTTTAAACCTTTTTGCGAATCTCCATATGGGATTCATTTCAGAACGATAAGTTTGGAACAAGCGAAAAGGCGCCCGTAAATCTTCGTTCCAAGGAGCCGGCTCTTAAGACGCCCCTCAACAGTTTTCGATGGGTATTGACTGCAAGGAAGTGCTCTAGAGTCGATATCTGGTCTGCCAGTGCAACTGAACACTCTTCCTTCCAGCGACTGATAAGAATACTGCAATGGTTTCACCAACCTCTGAGGTATAACCTATTATTTTTTAACGTTGAGTCACAGAGCAAAATGGCCCCGAGGTCTAAATTACTGCATTTAAAAAGAACAAGATTAGTACCATATCTGATGCGAAACATTTTTCCCATTCAAAAAGACAGCGTGTAGATACAAAAAGAAAACATCTCGATTCTCATGATAAATCCTTTAAATGCAGATCTGCCCGACCGACAGCGGTCGATGTCTTAGAATCGCACGCAGTTTCTCCGAAGTCTGTGTTTGTTTGCGAAACGACGGTTCAGTTATTAAAAGAGCGTTTACGAAGTAATTTGATCCCGATAAAGACTGCTTCAAACACCGAAATTTCTTTCTTGCCTATGTCACTTCCTTCACTGTTCACATCAGTAATTAATTAACAGAGGGCTAGTTAGAAGTTAAAACACTTCCAATAATTTGGAACAATTACAAGAATAAGGGCTCTAGATTTTCGTGGCAGTTGTCGATTTGCGAGGCATGCCATTTAGTTTAGGGGAAGTGAAATTAGAATGGGAATTTTGCAGGTACCTTTTCGGTTGCTGCATAACAATTCATGTGTGATTAATGATGTCACTCGACATGTTAGCAAGAGGGTCACCTGTGCTACAAGTCGACATCGCGACCAATTTGTGTAAACTGGCCCGGGCATGTACTCCATGAATCTAGCTGTAATTCTAGTCAAACAAATTCATGGACAGAGTCAACATTTTAAACGGAAGCAATTTAGTGTTTTTTTTTTTTGTTAAGTTGCTGGATGTGAACGACAAATCCTAATATTTTCCTTAATGTTTAATTGATTTCAGTTTTGTATCGCAAAATTACTAAATTGTAAATTGCTAGAGAGCAAGGAAAACTTGAATTCCATTGAATCTACGGATCTAAACAAGCCTCGACAATAATCATACGACGAAACATATCTGGATTTAACAAGTTAAAGAATATACATATTCCCGTCATCATCGTTACCTCCATCACCGCCATCATCACCCCCACCATTATCATAGGTGGAGGCCTCATAACAGCCTAAGCCCAGGGCCCCCAAATGCCTTAATCCGGCACTGTGTAGGTGTTGATCTGTATCGTTCACAATTCACGTTTAATTCGCTAATTTGAACGACAGTTTAGGGTTGCTTTTGACCTAATATTTTTGTTGTACTTCTCGTCAAAATTAAATTCAAGCAGCGCGACAGCATTGGCGTCGCGGCCAACGGAACAGGACCCAGTGGACCAGTTTTGTGTTATCGTATACTGACCACGACCAAGTCGGTCGTCTTCGTGTCTTTGAAGGCTTGTCACGTGACCAAACAGGTAGATTCTGGGACGGCGTGGCTCCCGGGTTTTAGTTTTTTTTTTTTTTCTTTTTCCAGCCAAACAGACTGTCGCAAACAAAGAGCAATCGCGAGGACAACTGGGGTCCCTATCGTTTCGTCGAAACTCGTTTCGTGGAATTGCGTTTCGTGGACAACTTTTCATGGACACACGTTTTATGCACACGTTTCGCCGACACTAACTTTTCACCGACACTCGTGCGCGGATTGCACGCTGTAAGGACATTTTGCCCACGCGTTTATCACTGGGGTGCGTGTAAACCCACCACCACGCCTGCGCTCGCGCCACTTCGCGGCGACGGTTTGCGGCGACTCATTACAAACATGTTAACCCACCTGACCGACCCGTACACGCCGCTTCGCGGCGAGAGTCTCATGCAGCTTGTTGCAGAAGAAAGCTAATCTGAGCCGTCGAACTTGGCATTTCGATCGCCGGTTTTTTCGCAGTTTTCTCGCGCGGCTTTGAGGCTGCCGTGGCCCGTGAAAGCTAATCGAGTGTCGAAATATCACGCACGCGCGGCATCACCATGGAGTTATCTGTGGCAGTAACTTTTAGGGCGTGCACGTTCGGCAATGGAAGTGTTGGTCCGGTTCGTTGTAGCTCAATCCGTGTTGACGTTTATGTCCCTGTCCCATCGGAAGAAGAGATGCGCACGAAAAATTAAATTTACGTACCCCATGATGCGAGGGTTACCCACACCGTGTTTATCTGAACTGTTACGTCAAAGGAAGCAGTAAATAAAATCGACGAGTGTGTCTGTGCGACGAGTGCGTACCACGCATGGGCGTACCAACCCGGGGGGGGGGGGGGGGGGGGGTATATTGATCGACAACCGATCAGTTGAACATCCCACGCGTTACCAAGGGCAGCAGCTAGCCTCAGCCACTCTAGTAAAATGTTGGCTTTTCAACTGTTTTGTGTGGAGCTTTCAAATCAATTATGCCTGCACAAAATATCAATTCTCACTATAAATGGAGTGCGAACATGGCAAAGTAGAAGTCAGCTGCTGTCTTCCAAAAGGCGCACCCACATGTAAACACATCTCGGACCCTATGCGTACGAGTTCTTTAAAAACATTTCAATTGAGTTCACATTAAATTTTCGAATTAATGTAAGAGTCAATTAAAGGGCAGACAGGTACAGATATCTACAATCAATGCTCGACTAATTATCCGCTATGAAACGCAAGAAAAAACCACCCCTTTGTGCACTTCAATCCACCTAGAAAAAAATTCTACTCACTCTGAGTTCGGCAATCACGATCTATATAAGCAGCGAAAGTCCATCTGAATAATTGCATACCTCGATCACGCCTCATTAACAGCGACCGAAACATCGCGACTGCAAAAGGGCCAAGCCGACCGCACAGACAAGATCGTAGATTAGCTTGGATAAGACCCCGCAACAAATCGGGCTTGACTTGCGACTGGCTTATAAATGAATTATTTTTCAGATTTTTCTAACCGTTAGTCTTCTTTTACGCAAAAAAGAAATTCTGGAAAAACTGACGTAAACTCAGGAGGCCTAACATTTATGCGACCTTCAACCTGCCTAAACCGCCCCAGTATGGTTGGCGGCCATGAAGACATGGTAGGATTCCATCGTAACCTACACAAAATTCCGATCGATTCGCTTGGCGTATTAGCGGATTGGTTCTTAGGTTTCGTCGTTCGCACGTTCTGCATCATAGCAAAAATAAAATTTACTCACCGAACAGTTTCTGCTGCTACGCGTTAAGTCAGACAACCAAATCAAAGCAAAGCGGAGAATATAGCTGGCCCAGTCACGTGACAGTGGTCACTACGTCACCATCGAACGATCGCTGCGCTCCAATCGGTCTTGGGGCGAATCCGTCGACTTGCATCCGCTTCATATGGCCCTGAGAAATATCATCTTTTGTCTCGCAGGATGAAAGACATTGAATAGGCGCCTATGGGGTGGTTAGAACGGCCCTTTCATTAGGGGAAACCTAGTGCAATTTTGTGATACCTTCTGCGACTGGCGGGCTTCTGTCTACGCCGCTTTCCCGCTGCGCAGCTGCGTGCTAAAGGAAAACAAACGGCAAGCAAACGTCAGGTTCGTGTGCCGTTCGTATTTACTATACACCAATTCAAAATTGTATTAGTGGAGGAGCACGACCTCTAGTTCGAACTTGCTGTGGTGCATTCAAGATTATTTTCATTTCGAAATTTCGCTGCGAGGCCATTTGACCGTCGCCTTGGCACGGCTTTGGTAACACACATGGTCTCCTAGGTTTCTCCTTTTTTTCCCGCGAAGGAGAAGACTCCTTTGTGCCGGGAGCCACTGTGGCTCCCAGACCTCCGAGAGCAAGGCCGTGCCAGGAACACGGCGAACCACGAGGTTGCATAGTTGCGTCATCGCTGCAAGGCGTAGATTAAAGAGTCAAACTAAAGGTGCAATAAAAAAAAAATAAAAAATAAAACCCCGAGACTATCGGAAGCGCAATACTCGACTTCATAATCTCAAGTAAAAACAGACAAAAAGAAAAATAGGTTATTCATTTTGAAATGTCACATTTTTCAGAGTGTATGACTCAGAAAAGCACTGCATGGTCTGATTTCCCCGTGGTAATCTGTCGTGGAAATTGTCGTCACGCTCAAGAAGAGCACCTCATTGTATTTTCGTTTTTTTTTTTTTCTATTGGACGCACATCCTTAATAACATGTTTCCATCCTTAGACATTTATGACGAGTAGATTCGACATCTCTTGTCCCCAACCACACATGCACAGCCATGACCTAGAACATTCTTACATATAATGCTAGCAAAAACACTAATTCCTCTTTTGAATCGGCGTAAACTTACATCAATTATTTCTATGCTTGCATGCTCCCAATGCTGAAAAATATTCACCCTTTCTCTCCTAATGCTTAACTGGTAGTTGAAAAGCGGCTACCCAATCTATGCGGCGGGACCAAGTGGGAACTGGGACATCACCGCCTGATGTGGTTGGTCAGAGCCGCGCCGTTGACAAATCGCAGCAGGCGATGTCCCGGTTTCCTGGTCCCACTGTGTAGATTAGGGTCCCTGCTTTAGTCCATTGCAACTCAAGAAGGATAGGGCGCGAGGGTAAAACGGGCCGGTGAGAAGGAAGCAGACAGAACGCTAAAAAGAGGAGGAGGTTTCCCCCTCTAGTCTCCAGCGTTCCCTCTGCTTCCTCCTCCCCTGCCCGCCTTACCCTCGCCCTACCTTCTTGAGTGATCAACTGGTCCCGATCGCAGCTTCTGTGGCTCACCATTGGGAAGGCCCATACCGTTTGTGTCGCTGCCTGTTTGCAGGTTGTGGGAAATCAACAAAAATCTTGCTAGACCAAGAACAAAATAAACTTGATACGTCTGTAACAAAAGGTCCTCGTTGCTGGAAGTACAAACTAAAAAGAGCAATTCGCTGTTTCAGATAACAATTTATTTGCAACAAGATGCACACAGGAGCACCTGTCGGTCATTGTATACAAGATCATTGTTTTCTTTATCTTCAATTGTATATACAATATGAAAAATAGTCTTTTTTTTTCTTCAAATGCATGTAGGGACCCCCTGTACACCTAACATATACATATATATATATAAATGTTTAAAAATAGTTCCTTTAGAATATGCGAGCTAAATCGTTCCGCTTGTCGGAGGCACCGCGATGCAACGTCCAAAAATACTAAGAGGCAGGCATTCCTATATATTACTTAAATTTTGCTCGCATTCACCAGACACGTCGTCATTCGCAACCCCGTCGCGTACCAACTTAAATATCAACAGTCGATCCTCAGCATTATCCAAGGCCTCGGTGAGCCTCCTTTTAAGTGCGGTCCGCTGCTTGCGGTAACCGGTGCCACCCAGAATTAAGCACGACAGTAAGCTCACTATCGTAAGATGCCTTCGTGCAGCTTCTTGTCGTAAAGCAAGATGTACAAGAGGTAAAGCGACGGAACCACAACACCGACGGTCACCACAGACACTAGGATACCGCACCACCCTATACCACAGTCGGCGCCACTCCACGCAGACGGAGCCGGCGGATGCGGTGTTGCTGTCGTCTGTTCGGCCAGTTTGGCGACGACGTCAGTCAATTGCACATTGTCGCCACTACCCTGCTGAATCACGGCTTCGACCCTGCGGTCCAGGTTGGCCCAGTAGCGGATGGCTTTGTCGGGCGGCGATTCGGCGCCATCGCTGGTTAGGGAGATGGTCTCCTCGTCCTGGGACAAGGGCTCCACCAGCTTCGCGGTGACGAGATTGTGGATGCGAGCGGGAACTTTGAGGACGACCAGTGCAAAGAAGTCTTGGTCGCTAAGCAGGTTGTTCAAGTGCCGCAGGGTTCCCACCTAAAAACAGAGAAAGAATGGTATTACGGTCTTCTACAGTGACGGTCTTCTAGACTGACAGAATGTTCTGCCATTATCGAGAAATACGTCTCAATCTTGGCCATATACGGTAGACCAAAGGCAGCGACATGACTAAGGTTCTTCAATGCTCCGAGGAAGGGTTCCGTGTGAGAGGCGTTTTCGGCGTATCTGACACACCAGTCTTGGTGCTTTTATATGTGGGTGAAAGGCGAAGTGGCCATCAAATACTATAGAAACTTATGTTCAGACCTTAAATATTGGTGTACTTTTGATAATCAACAATAAATCAGAGAATGCTCCGCCGCAGCCTTGCCAGCAGAAAATATAAAGCCAGCTATTACAAATTTTGTGCTCTTCCCCAGTAGTCAGAGGGGGTGGGGGGGCTGACCCGCCTGACTCCTCCCCCCGTGTGCACGCCTATGGGTGCCACATTCCGTATAACCCATTACCGACAGCAAGAAATCTTGGGAAAGATACAAAGAAATAGTTGGAACCGAAATGCCTCCGTAATCCAGTTAAAGCTAAAGGCTTGAGCTAAGAGACGCTATTTCACGTTCAGCACAACAAAATAAGCGCCGCGATGGAAAACCTATCCCAAGACAGTTAGATATGCATTATTTAGGCACCCTAACCATGCCGTGCCACCATTTTGATTCCCTCTCGTGCTCAGGATGGCAGAAAGCAATGCCGACATATTGGGTTCAACGGTGAGCCGATAATGATGTCGTCTATGCCGCCCAGTGCCATGTCAAAGTACTGAGACACGTTGCCGTTTTGGCTCAATAAGCAGCACAATGCGGCGGAAAGTTTTACCAGTATTCACCTCCACTTAAAACCCAAAGCGCTGCAGAAGGAAGCCAGCTGGCATTCGTTGTTGATGCGGCATAAACAGCACCAAAAACGGCATGCCGGACCAAAATTAAACGCATGTATCCCTTTCAGGTGTTACGCTCTCAGAAATAAACTTTGTCAACTCTAGCAATTTGCACCGTCCAAGCTTAACATACAAGACTGGTCTCATCTCTGTTGCACATTAACAACAACAACACATATTTAAAAAAAAAAAAAAATTATTGCATTGATAACACGCAAAAGCCACGAATATATGAAACGAGCAATGTACCATTTCCAGATACCAATATCAGCGATTAAAGCGCCATTTGACCTTGTGGAGCAGGTTCTGTACAGGTAAAATGTTCGTTTGGAGCAGCCACTGACGCTTTTGAAGCAGATGCCAACATCTGTTAGCTCATCACTTGGAAAAGAAAAAAAAAGTGATATTGCATCGCTAAACCAGTTCATCTTTGATAATGACAGAGGGTCCTCTTTGATACTGGAGTAAATTACTTATCACCTTTTGCAATGAGAATAAAAAGGGAGCGAAAGGAACACAGAGCTTTATTTTTTAGAAATAAGACTCCGGTCAGAGTAGGTTCCATTGACAATGGGTATTAAAAAAAAAACGGTTGAAAAATGAATGATTCCAGTTGAGATAAAGTCCCACTCCCTCGCCCTCCTACACTTGGTAGTAATTTAGACCACGAATGCAATTTCTGTAAAATCCCAGAGATTAAAAAAAAAAAGAAGAAGAAGAAACAGTATATTCGCTATCAAAGCAAATGCGTACCCCACGTTTTACGAACCTACCAAACTCGGGACTTTAATATCCTAAACGGACAAAACCACCACCCACAAATATAAAAGCCTACACTTTTACACTTTAAACGTGACACCGATCTTTAGCGGCGTTGGAACTTGGAACGAGAGTTGAGTCAACGTTCCCTGCTCTTTCGATGGACAGCTGTACAAGATCTATCCTTGGCTACCGCATTTCTTCAAATATAGACCTACGTTTTGTTTTTGGTATGTTTTTTCTTCTCAGTGAAGTTTCTTTTTAAATTAGGGATTAATCTATAACCAACACCAAAGAAGGAGAGAACAGTAGTAGTGAGCATAATTTCCAAGGCTATCGCGGTGACCCCGGCGCCCTCCCTTACGGCTGCCGCTGCTCCTAGCACTCCGGTGCAAAGCGGTGAAGCCCGACGCGCGCGCTCTGGTGAGAGCCGGCGAGGGTTGACGAGGGCGGTCCAAGTACGGCACGAAGGCATGCAACAGACATGACAATCAAGTGATCTCATCGGGAGTACAAGAGCCTGGTTTTTTCTTGTCACAGTACCCGCAATCCTACCATTTTGCGAAGTTTTCTCGCGACTTTCAGCTCCAGCGCACCAACCGGCCAGAGCCACACCTCAAGGCAAAGCGCAGACGACGCTACGAGCAAGTGCGACCAATCAAACAGCGTCAAAATGCGACATTATGGCATTCCTCATCTTCCTATACGTGTTCTTTCATCGGCTATAGCCCAATCAAGTGAAGAAAATCTCCCTTGCGCTTTTAGGGTGTGTATTCGCGGATGTGTGTGTTCAAGCTTTCCACTTTGCTGTGACCTTAGATGAGACAAACTATACGGTCAAGAGAGGCTGTGATATATATATTGTCACGGTTTATTTCCTGGGTTCTCTAACGTTCTCGTCCTCGATCCCTGTCCCGAGCACCTCTTCTTCTTTCCTTTTTTTCTTCGCTGTTACACTCGCCCCCTCCCCCCTATGAATCGATAATGATCGAATTCATGGACCGAGTTCAGGTGCATGGTGTGTGTGTCTCGATGAACGTGGGACCTAGTGCTTAAGATGGCTACGATGTGCCGTGAATGTTGCATTGGTATGATGGGGACTGCCAGTACAATCACAAGCTTGAAATGTCACGGGACCCAGCTGACGAAGAACCTCAAAGGGGCCTCTGTAGCGTGGGAGGAACTTTTCAGCCCGGCCTTTCTTTCGAAGGGGTCGGCGTACCAAAACCCAGTCCCCACAACGTACAGGAGGTGGGGGGAATGATGGAGCAGTGCGCTACTAAGTGCGTACCTGAGCACGCAACATGGAATCGCGAGCTTTCTTTCTCACGGCTTGGAAGCGGCGTCGAGAGCTACTTGTAAAGTGCTCTGCTCTTAGCGTCCAAACGGCATTGTCACCGGATTCGCAGGGCAGAACTGGTGCCCGTCCGTACACTATTTGGAAAGGGGTAAACTCGGTTGTTGATTGTTCAGCAGTGTTCATTGCAAAGGCTGCGTATGACACCAGTTCGTCCCAGCTGTTGTGTTGTTCGTTCACGTAGCTCGCCAGTATGCCACTGATGGTGCGGTTGGCCCGTTCAACAAGACCATTTGTTTGTGGATGGTATGGCGCTGCTTGAAAAAAAAATTGGGTTATGGGGATATTTATACAGCGTGTGGTTGGTCAGCCATTTAAAGTTGCGACGAGTCACACGCTGTAGATGAGCAATTTATCCAGTGCAGCACAACCGCTAGCCTGGGGTCTTTAACGTGCACCACGCAGTAGTGATCAATACACGACCGCACGCCGGTACGATGCTCATCCAGATCGAAACGGGCAGGTGTGGGGTTCGCACCTGCCTGCCTAAACCCAGGGACCCAGGATCCCTGGGTTCTGCTGCTTGAACGTGATGGATACCATGAGTTTCCATTTCTCTCGCAAACCGACGGGAAATGAAAGATGAGGCGCGATCACTCACGATGACGCGAGGTACACCATGCCGAAGAATAACTTGTCGTAAGAACAGCACGATGTGGTCGACCGCGGTGCTTGGAACTGCACGTAACTCTACCCATTTACTTAGGTAATCAATGGCGACGAGAACATACTTGCTACCACTTGGAGTAGGGGGGAACGGGCCGAGATGGTCGATGCCGAGAATTTCAAAGGGTGCTTTAGGCAGTGGTACAGGCTGGACGCCACAGTCGATGGTGGGGTTCGCCATTTTCCGTGACTGACATTTAATGCACGACGCTATGTATTCGGCAACGTCTGTGCGAACTCGTGGCCACCGGTAGCGCTCCAAGATCTTCTTTGTAGTTTTGGCTCTTCCTAAATGTCCAGCGGTTAGGTTGTCGTGACACAGGTGGAGCACGGCGGTACGTAACTGCGCGGGCACGAAGGGCAACCAACCTTGCGTCCCGCGGTGGCAGAGGAGCCCATGACAGACACGATAGGAGCGGCGTAGACGTCGTTCCGCTGTATGAGAAGGAGATCTCAGTCGCGACATAATATCTTGAACTTCTGGGTCTGAAGTTTGAGATTCAGCAAGGTTAAACACAGGGGTGCAAAACTGAACCTCTTCTTTGTTCAGTTCTTCAGCTGGGGCTATCGGATTGCGTGAGAGAAAATCGGCGTCCGTGTGATATTTTCCACCTCGATGACAGATATTCAGCTGATACTCTTAGAGTAGTAAAGCCCAGCGAGCAAGCTTGGGGGTAAGGTCTCGTTTCGACTGTAGCCAAAGTAACGCAGAGTTGTCTGTAACGGCTGGGAAACGATGACCATACAAGTAGGGCCGAAAGTGTTGAATAGCCCAGATGAGAGCTAGGAATGCGAGCTCCGATGAATGGTAGCGTTGTTTGGCATCGGTAAGGCGCCGACTGGCGTAAGCGATTACTCGTTGAGATTTGTCGGGGTGTTCTTGGAGTAATACAGCTCCAAGGCCAGTTCCGCTGGCGTCGGTGTGAAGAAAAGATGGGAATTCGATGTTAAAATGGGCTAAGATTGGTGCCCGAAAAAGGCTTTTCTTAATGTCGTTGAAGGTGTTAGGTTCTTTAGCCAATCCCCCAAAGCTCATCCTTGCGACATCCCGCACTGCTTAGTGATAGTTGGTTGACTTCTAGGCTAGATGGCGCAAGCTACCGACCTTAGCATTCATTCATCCATGATTCAGACGCTACCAACATGCAGCCATCAGCATCCATCCATCCATCACTCTAAATCTGCACGACCACCTGTTTCTCCAAACTTGGGACGAAAACATCCACATGTGTGCATCATTTACTATGGAAATGTCATGGCATTAGCTTCGCATTGGAAATGCCACTTCAACATGCCAACAGCCGAAGTCGACAGCAACCTGACGTTGCTGCAGAAAAATATCGCCAGAATAAAACTCAGTTATTTTAACCACAGGTGGGAACTTTCCTTTAGCACAGTTTGGTCTCATACTGTGGGCTGTTGAGCACACGTACATTACACAATACAGTTACCGTGAACACGACATTAGAATTTTTCCGCATTTTACTGACAAGAACTAAATTTCACTCCTTCGGTTGGTGCCCCAAATGAACACCTAGCAGTTTTTATGACTACACTAGCAGTTTTTATGACAGTTTTTCAATTTCAACAGGAAAGCAGAAAAGAAAACTGGCAATTGCTTGTTTGCGTTAGCTGTACATGTCACTCTCTGTACCAGCAACAAGATGCATGAAGATTAATCTTGCCAATGTGCTTTGTATATTCTTTGTGTGCACGCCACCACTATATAATACAAGAGTTCTCCTTCGAAAACACTATAGCACAAGCTGCTAGCAGGTACAGACGCACGGGCGTAGCACCTTGATGATCTTTTTTAAGAAGTTGCAAAAGTTTTGGGCTTCCATTTTGAAATTTAACTGGTAGGAAGCTTTTGGCAACGAAAAGCAGGAGATCCAATGAGCATCGTTTGTCGAAGTGCTGGAGTTCTATCGTCCAAATCGTTTCCTGTTACCATATTTATTCATCCACCCATCATGGCTGGACTCAAGAGTGGGCACCGAGCTGTCATCTCACTAGCACCATTTACCATTGTGGTAACTGCCTCCCACCAACTGGTGCTTGCTGATTGGTCCAACTTGCTCACCAACTCCAACTCCTCACAAGCAGAAGTTATCTGCACCAGTGGCTAGCTTTAGGCTCACTGACTCATGAAATACGAGATGTGTGATCTGGGACCAGTGCAAAAGAAGGTACGCTTTCGGTATGACAAGCATACGGCAATTGAGGCGCGACGTGTAAAACGTAGCAAGCGGGACACTCACCGAACAGCCGTAGCGAAGTGCCAGTCCCTGCAGCGTCTCTCCTTCGACGATCTTATGCTCGAACACCGGCGTTTCTTTGCGGGACTGCGGACGATCGCCAGATTCCCAGAAACCATTCGCCGAGGAGCCACCACCAGCTCGTTGCCGAAGCTCCGTTGCCGCGTCGTCACCGTCGAGCTCGTGAAGCAAGCTGTCCTCACCGTCGGTGAATACGAAGGCCAACTGATCTTCGCCTTCGCTGATGGTTCGCGTCTGGCCCCTGGCATAGCGAGGACCCCTACGACCGTGCCTCGATGACAGAGACCACGACTTCGGGAAGGATACCATCGTGTCGTCGAAAGCGTCAGCAGGACGCGGCGCATCTTTGTCAGGTGCCGAACGTGGCCTGCGCCGCTCCCATGTCGAGTGCTGGTTCTCACGAATAGGGAGAAATCATTCCCGGGAGAAATGGTGCGCTAGAAAAAACAGCTGGAGCAAATTGCGGGCCCGAGTCCCACCGTCACGGACGACGGGTTGTAAAACACGTAGGACGTTCTTGTTACTGTCGTAAAAGTGACCCCTGTCGCATCCACTATTTTTATTTGGATCAGTGCGTTCCTTGCTATGTTTTCTTGCAATTTGAGGTAAATACGTAATGTTTTAGACTTGGCTTCTTTAAATATATATGGTATTAAATTAAAATTTTATCTTATTATTTTACAAGTATATTTAAAACAAATTTACTTCAGCGGGGAACTACATTCTTATGCGCACAAAATGCGTGAAGTAAAGTTTCGGTTGACTTTAGTGCAATACCGACCTCGTTGTGCAATACTTATCTCAGTCAGATATTTCAATTTACCGATTTGCGGCATTTATTTTATATAATTATTAAAATTTATAAAAATCTCCTTAAATTTATTTTAAAAAAGGTCACATCGACAAATTAAAACAATATTCGCAAACTTTGAAGAAAACGTTTTAAAAATAGCTTTAGCGGAATACCGATTGTGCCTGGCCACTTTAATCGGACATGACGTCTCTCGTCGGATTTTGCGCTTCCGTCCTTTTCCTGTGAAAGCCGAAAGGCTCTGGTTTGTGACATTCACAATCGGAGCAAATCGAAGGTAAATACCGTTAAAACCACTCTAATAACTTCATCAGCATCTCGTTTAATGCACCCGAAATGATCTTACCGCGGTATTTAAGAATTTAATTGCGTTCATGTGGTCTAATGGGTCTTTGAAGTCGGTACCTTTCGAGACACGACATGATCGCTTATTCGTTGCATGCTTTTGGACTGGCATTTACACGCTGAGATAGATTTAATAAAAAGTTGTGTTATGTTTGTTTTTAAACTGTGGTAACCTTTTTGCATTCATTTCTCCGCACGCAGCTGAAAATGGGTCGCTACTCTGTAGAACCGGATAATGCCACCAAATGTAAGTAATCAAACTCCTTAACCTCCTTACGTTGAACATTGTATGTCGGACCCTTGGAAACACTTGACTGATCCCAATATTTCTTTGTCTGTAATCTGTTCAGCCTGCAAAGCTCGTGGATCAAATCTTCGGGTCCATTTCAAGGTATGTACTGACGATCAGCTGCCCCTCCACTTGATATGCATGCTTGCAAGACTCGTTGATATCGTGGGCTACATCATTCGCTAATAACTCATTCTACTCGTCCAAGTAATCGCATCGTTATTAAAATGCATGTATTGACACAAGGATGACTTTTCAGTGCTTTGTTCCTACGCTGGGTTCGTATTACCGGCACTGTCATTAAGTATATGCTTGAGTGGTGTACTGAAAGATCAACTTCTGCCTGGTCTGTCACCCAACTTGTTCTTGTTTTGTACGTTAACAGAACACCCGGGAGACGGCTCAGGCTATCAAGCACATGGCTCTGCGTCGCGCCCAGCGCTACCTGAAGAACGTGATTGCGAAGAAGGAAATTGTTCCTTTTAGGCGTTTCAACGGTGGTGTCGGCAGGAAGGCTCAGGTATGTTGATGATTGTCACATTCTGTTTCTGCTCTCAAGCACCAGAGAGCATGCTGTGAGTGTAATTACCTGTGCTGGCATCTGCCACCAAGAACTTCCATCATTGTTTGTGCACAGTTCGACTTTGAGTGAACACTCAAAAGCTTCAGTCGCATCGTTACATGAATGCGTTGGTGACTTTGTATAACCCAACTAGTGACTTGTATGAGAAGAGTGAGCGTAGCTGGTGGGTGGCTACATAGACACCTCTGGAGTTTGTATTTGTGTGTTTCCCACTGTTGAAATAGGAAATTGAGTGTTATCAGAGTTGATGAAAAAGGGCACAAGCTTCTTTGTTTGTGTGACTGCACATCTCCTTTTTATCCTCAGTTGGCAGGTTCAAATCCCATTCGAAGTGCCCACAATTTGACGGAGGCTTGTTGCGTTGGAGGCATCGCGTAAACGAGATTTTGGTTGCACATCAGAAGGTCCCCAGGTGTTCAAAATCAATCCCCAGTCCTCTGCCAGGGTGTGTAAGACGCCCGTTGTCGGTTTGGCTTGCAGAAACTATGTGCAACCTTGACTTTGGCATCCGCTTTATCTAGAAAGTGAGCTTTGTCTTTCATCCCAACTGCTTTGCGGGCCATTGTAATCCAGCGTTCCTCTGGGAAGACCCGCCGCCCCGTGACCAATGACGTTTCTGTTTGGCGTGCAGGCCAAGGCGTTTGGCTGCACCCAGGGCCGCTGGCCCAAGAAGAGCGCCGAGTTTCTGTGGCAGCTGCTGCGCAACGCGGAGAGCAACGCCGACTACAAGGGCCTGGACGTGGACCGCCTGGTCATCGACCACATCCAAGTCAACCGGGCTCCCAAGATGCGCAGGAGGACCTACCGCGCCCACGGACGCATCAACCGTGAGTGGCCTCTTGAGAGTTCCCTCGTCATGGTGACCGGGTGGCACCAGTCACTCAAACTCGGCCTCTACACTCTTTCTCTACACCGCAAACTCTCAAAGACGACGAGCACCATGACAACACTTTTAGCGCTGCTTGGTTGGCTCCACAGGGTCGTAGCGTCGGCTGTGGTCGTACTTGATACAAAACGGGGTTTCATGTTAATTTCATGGTAGGAAACTGAGCTTTTTCGCTTCAATGGCTGGACAGAGAGGGTTTTTCGGACTGACTGTCACATGAGTCGGCCGTTCCTTAGGGCCGAAAAGTTAAGAACGCCCAGAGTATAGATACTGGACTATCGGGAAGCTTGGGCGAGGTTGCTTCGCTCTGTCACGCGATGTTCTAGCGTTCTGGAGGATGGAAAAGCGTTAGCTGCTCTTTCAGATTAGTCTTTGGATAGCTGGCAACAGTGTACCAAGATGGCTGGAGTGTCCTTACACTGAAGCGTAGCCCATTCAGTGGCTCTGGGTGGTGCAGTGCTTCGGTGGCAACGTTCCTCGTAGGACGGCTAGCCTGTAGACCAAAGCTCCATGATAATGCGTCGGCTGTGTGAGCCATTTTAAAGGGACCTCAATTTCTTGAGTTTATTTTTATTTATTTATTTTATTGATACTACTGTCTCCTATTTCAGGAGACGTGGTAGGAGTGGTTTACAACATATGGCCCCTCTGTGTTCGATCTCTTGCAAACCCAGCTGAGTGGGAACTAAGCTTGTGTTGGGGGATGGATCAATCTCTCTGGGGAAAATGGAAGGTTGAAATGCCTCACTACAATGAAAAAAGTGCTCTGTGGTCCCTCTAACTTTGTCTAAGGAATCTAGAGAATCCCTTTGTCTTTAGCAGGCTCACATGCGCTTGTTATTGCAATATTTGGTGAAGTGTCAGTTTGGGTCAAGGAGGTTAGAAGTACTAGGAGAGGGCACGTTGCAATATTGGTGAAGCCTAGTCATAAAAAGTTTAAACGATGTTGTGGCCAACGTGACCGTAGATCTCTCTGGCTATTGGTGCGCGTGGCATGTCACATGTGAGATGAATGGTTGATTGTAGAAGGACTCCTTGCAGGCTTGCGCGCGCTCCGTCCGGTAGGTTTTATCAGATCGAAGGCTAGCCTGTGGTGTATTCTAGTACCCTGTAGCTAGACAAAGGCTAGCTACGGTTACGTGATGTGGTCACGTTGGCGTGGTAAGTGAGGAGAGTAAGGAGGAAAATGAGAAAGAAGCGAGGCGTCAAGGGAGCATGGCTTGTGGAGGCTACACGGCTGCCGTCATGCCCTCTCCTACGCTTCTATACTCCTTGGTTTGGGTACATCTACGAGAAGGGGTCGCTTTTGACATTCTCGGAATTATCGCAAGCCCCCGGTAAAAAAAAAAAAATCACTTAAAAAGTTGGTAAATATATGCAGGTTGGAACTGTTTTAGGGCTGGCCAATAGGTCGCACGAGTGCTTAATCATTGTAACCAGTTGTAGTGCAGTCGTTCACAAATGCAGATGTGTGAACCAGCCTTTTGACATCGTAAGTGCTGCTACCGTTTACCACTCGTAGTACACATATGGTGATCTTTTACCGTATACAAGTCTAAAGTGGTCTGCTATGCACTGTTAGACCTTACGACAAACCACGACAGATGCTACGAGCCACGTTGGCAAATCCAGCGCTTCACGCGCCACCAGACTTCGCACACAGCGTTGTTCCACCCACCTGGACGGTCGCACGACACGCTTGCAGCTGTGGGTTGGCTCTAGTGGCTCGTAGCTTCCACCGCTGTTTGTCACAAGGCAAAGCGGAGCATAGTTTGTTTTCAGTTTAGCTCGATGTAACGTTCATGTTTGAAGGCGATTGTTGGTCTTCGGTGCGAGTGCATCCATTGAGCGAGCCCTGGTCTCTCCCTGTGCAGCGTACATGAGCAGTCCGTGCCACATTGAGGTGATCCTGAGCGAGAAGGAGCAGGTGGTGGCTGCCCCATCGCCTGAGGAGGACGCTCCCAAGAAGAAGCAGTCCAAGAAGAAGATGGCGCGCCAGAAGCTGATGCAGCGGGACTAGACGCCCCACACACTGTACCATAAACAACCTGGAAACACGAAGCTCGAAGGACAGACCCTGTTGTCCCTTTGTTTCTCCGCCAACGCTGCTAGAGTGGACTATTTTCGAAGAAGGCAGTCTTAACACCAAATGTATTGACCCTTTTCCTAAGAGCGTCGAAAGGAGGCGCTATTGCATTTTGCATCTCCACATACTGCCATTACGGTCAAATGAGAGGACAAACAATCCCTACCATAACACCGCTTCTTGCAACATTCGTGAAATGTTTTATGACCAGTTCTTCGGACGATTAGCGAGAGATTTTTCTCTCCGAATTTCCTCTCCACATTTTCTGATTACTGTAGAATTTGATCGTCCCTGGAATTTCGACATGGACAGGCTCGAAGGCCTGCCAGAATGGAGTGATCTGAAGTTTCTTGGGAGACAAGAGATGGCTTTTTTTTGTTAACACGAAAAGTCTATTGTGCGTAATTTTGCACTGTACTATTTTGCAAACTCTCACCCTCTTTAAGAGTTTGCTGTGCTGATGTGGAAAGAGTAGATGGCTTTGTAGAAGGACCTTGTCCTACTTTCCCTAAGGGGGGACACTACCTCAACATGTCTACTTTTGAACTGCTCGCTCAATCGGCATAAAATTTGCAGGTGGTGTTTGTAGCCACACAGAAGGAGGGCATGCAAAGTTTCAGCCCTGTGAACCAATTTTATGAGGCACTATACCCCCAGAACGTAGCTTTGTATGGAATCTGCTCAATGAATCTATCGTTGAGAAATGGTGTTGATCACGGCATATTTTTCTGGTGGAATGCATACTGGAATATTTGTTGCCGGTTACTATGAAGAGAAATTTCAGGAAATATGCATTTTCTAAAAATAAAAAAAACTTATGCAAGTTTTTTTTTTTTTTTTTTACACATTCGCCAAGTTTTGCAAATTTGAATTTTTCATAATGAAGGAACATAAAGTGCAAAATCTTAATTCATAGTAACCGGCTCGATAAAATTCTGGCATACAATCCGCAAATATTAAGTCTCGGTAGTTTCATACTGGAACAATAGTTTTATTAAGGTGGGATTTGCTGCTAAAAGTGAAGCTGAGATAAATGCACTTGAAGTTTCAAGATGGCGTTCTAAAAATTTCTTTTTGAGTCTTAAATGTCGGAAATTCTTTCCAGCAGTGTCGGTGATGTCTTCCTCAAACTTCTGATATACTGACATTGCTTTCAGCTATTTTCACTTGTGGATGACGAGTGCTATGCAATGCAGCACACCTCACCAACATATAAAGAATAATTATTTCTGACATTGTTTGTCAGTGCACATTGACAAGACTTTGTGAGAGTGTTCCTTGTTATCCATACATGCCAAAACTGCAGTTCTGAGTATGAATTTGTTGAAAAAAAAAGGTGCAATTCAAGGTAGTGTCCCCCCTTAACCTATTGCAGAATAATGTTTAACACGGAGTAAATTTTATATATTGAGCTTGGGGCTTCTCTGGTGACAGATTGTCCTGTCAGGGGCTTGGGCTACATGACTACACACAATCGGACTGCGGGAGGTGGGTAATGACAATTTCACATTGTCCCCTTAAAGGGACACTGACGGGGTATTGTTAGGGTTGTTCGTTTTCGGGTTTTAAATATTTTTAAATTCGGGGAGGGGGGAGGGGGGGGGGGGGGTAAAAATCGGGTGCTATTTTTCAAGCTAATCATCGGAGAGAAATTGGGTTCTTTATAGAAACATTTTGAAATTCGGGTTAAATTTGCAAATATGCTAAGTAATACATTCGTTTTTTTATTGGAGGGTATCACGAGCTTTCTGCCCCATTATAGTATTCGAGTGTCGGGGATAATCGTCTTGCCATTCCCAAACGTTAAGCTCCCCTGAGGGAGAGCTCTGCTGGTTCGATTGCCGTCAGTGGCTTGAGGGGAAGCACTGCTCAAGGAACCCTCTCCCTCGGGTGTCCACGAAAACCCGGACCGTTTGGGGGACGGTCGTTTTCAATCAGATATTTCGCTATGGAATAAACCTGTTAAGTTTTCCCGATCTGCTTACCCCGACTGACTGGCTCGGACGTTGTTCGTGAGAAAGGTAGACCGCCAGCGAGATGGCCATGCTACCGTAAAGACTCGAGAGGGATTGATAGTGAATTTCACAACTTGTGTGCAGCAGGGCCAAAGCTATGTTGCGTGCCCAAGGCGGTTCCGCATGCACAGTGGGGGGACGGAAATGTCCCTCCGAGGCCCCAACGCCTATTGTCGCTGTTCTTCAGCCAGCCTCCGTAGAATGTCACGGTGAGCTAGGCATGCGCTCATTGGGCAGTCGGTTGAGAGACGTGTAGCGTCCACAGTGCTGCACTCAGCTTGCGAAATGAACTATAGGTCGCTGTTGTCCCGAGGTAGGGTAGCTAGCGTGTGTGCACTGCAAACTCCGTACGGCGTAAAAATAAATAGGTTGGTTATGCGGTTTTGGAATTCGGGGAGAAATCGGGTTTAACCCGATTCTCTTAAATCATGTTCGGGGTGTAAAAATCGGGTAAAATAGGGTTTTACCCGAAAACAAACAACCCTAGGTATTGCGCATGACATTTGAAAGCCCAACTAGTACTCAAAACACAATTTGCAACACGAAAGAATTTTCTTTCCCACCGAAAACCGCGGATCGAGAACTGGCCGGTTTGAGTCACGCTCACTCTCTTCTCTATGGTCACGTGCCATTCTCTATGATTCAGACACAACCGCCGAATATAATCAAAGTTGGGGGTAATTGAAGGCACATGGTCAATATTAGAAGTAAAAAAAAAAAATATGATGCCTGTATTTTGTTGCTTCTAAAAAACTGCAAATACGTTAATTGAAGAAAAAGAAAATGCAAAGCTTTGATTTTTGGCAGCACTTTCCTCATATTTCTTCCTCCCCAGTCCGATTTTGGTTTCGAGCAGTTGCGTTTTCTTACTTTATTTAAAATGCATGTGACGCTAGCGAAATATTGATTTGGATGTCTTCCAACACCACATTAAAATCGCCTGGCAAAAAAAAAAAAAAAAAAAAAAAAGATATTTGGGGGGCCGACGTCTTGTAGACGCTGAGATGGAGAACAATAAAAAAACTGACGAAGACGACAAAATCTTGAACGCAGCTGAAAGATTAATTTTGTTGTCTTTGTCAGTTTTTTTATTGTTCCCCATCTCAAGGTCTACGAGATGTCAGTTCATTACCAGCTCGCCTGCAATCTACCTCTGCTTACAAATTGGAGGGTGTCAGTGTCCCTTCAAAGCGACACTGACGCCCTCCAAAATGTATTTTATGCCAGACGATTCCTTGTGTCGGAAGACTACCCAATCAATATTTTGCTACAGCATCACATATCTTTTTAATATAAAATGCAACTGCTCGAAACTGAAACTGGACTGGGAGGAAGAAATATAGAGGATGAGAGAGTTGGTGATAGTGATTCATTTCGGCCCAGGAGAGCCGCAGCGACAGCCGCAAAACCTTCACGGTATGGACATCTCTATGTCCATACCGTGAAGGTCCAGCGATGATGAGTTGGTATTGCACAGATGAATTTATAAAAGAAGTGGTGATGATGGTTTAAATGGAGCTTGTGGACAAGGGTGAGGGGTTGATGTTCTGATTGAAGATGGTGAACAGCGTTAGGCTTGCAGCGGTCTTCGCGAAGATGGGCCTCGATCTACTTGTAGGCAAAGAAGCCACTTGAAGTCTTTTTTTACTTGTGGTATGTTTTGGGTTTCTTTGCTCAAAGAATGTTTTCTGCTCTTTCCCTACCAAACAAGAACACGCTTTCCCGGGATGACTGATACTTCTGCAGTCTTTACTTTTTCTAAGGACAGAAGTTTTGGCGAGAAATTTTTTTGTGACATAAAGAACAATTTTCTCCCCTATTGGCACCTTTTATTGTAGTTTGCTCCCACAATGCATTCAAATGATGTACTTCGTAGTATCACTTATACTCTATGGGCTACCTCGGCACAAAAAATGTAGATCCAGACTTGCAGATATTCGCATCCAACAAACCCTATTCATTTTTATCCACATCTGCCAGTTTACTGTGGATATCTGCAGATATGCAGGGTGCCTACATACCAGTCAACCACCTGAGCACACAAGGAAGTGCAGTGCTGAGCACGCACATCTCGGCACTGCATGAAAATAAAGTCTGCGCTCACTTGGATTGCACCCATTCATCTTCGTGAGGCCATTGTTGAAACACTGACATTCAACAGTTGTGAGGACCTGCCCAGGCTAAGCGAGGGGTAGGAGTACGGCCGGCCACATCCCACACCTTTCTGGCAGCCTGGCTACGAGCCCAGAGTGAAGTATGACCGTCCTGGCAGACGGATAATTTAAGAAGCCCATTGAGGAAATGGAGCAAGATGACCGGACCGGTATACTTCTTCCATAAGTGCTCTCGTAGTCGTTTTTATGCGATGCACAAACTCTAGTACGTTGGGAGCACCCCAAAAAACGCTCCCCAGCGTTTTATTTGTATTGGTAGGCAACACCTACAGTACTAAAAATTAAAGGAAATCCACATATTACAATATCGAACCACTGTATTTGATTGCAACGGGATGTCGTGAAGTGATCATGGCAAATCAAAACCGAAACTGGGCAAGGGGCTTCCAAGATGCTTTGCAAGGCACTACCAAATACTGTACTAGGGGAATACAGGACACACTCCTCATTTGCATTAGACAGGACGACGGCCGCGCCGAATCCTCCCCTGGTGGAGCGGTTTATTTGGCGACACCTCTCCTCCCACCCCTCTCCACTCATCGACAGCACGTTACCAGGCAACGCCTCGAAATGTGGTGCGGTTGATGGGGTCTGGGATGTGATGACAATACCGCTGCTGCTGTCTATAGCGTGTTTCCGGGGTTCTTTGTTGTCATCTTTTCCAATGTATTCTTGGGGAGTATTGTACTCCCCTAAAGTATTTGGCACTACAACGCTAGGATTGCTTTGATTTTGCAAGAGGTCAAAATGTCGACCTCTCGCGGAAGCAGACGCTCTGCAGTGAAACCACATGTAAGAAA